GGGCGGGCGGGCGCCATGTGGCCGCGGCTGAGCCTCTTTCCTCCGCATCCGCAGACGCCATGGCCGCGCAGGGAGAGCCCCAGGTCCAGTTCAAAGTAGGTACCTCGGGCGGGGGCGGCGGCGGGGCGCGCGGCGCGGGCTCACCCGCTCTCCCCGCAGCTGGTGTTGGTGGGCGACGGCGGCACCGGGAAGACCACGTTCGTGAAGCGGCACCTGACGGGCGAGTTCGAGAAGAAGTACGTAGGTAGGTGCGGGCCGGGCGCCCGGCGGGGCCTCGCGGCGGGGGCGCGCCGGCCGCAGCCACCCTGGGCGTGGAGGTGCACCCGCTGGTCTTCCACACCAACCGCGGCCCCATCAAGTTCAACGTGTGGGACACGGCGGGCCAGGAGAAGTTCGGCGGGCTGCGCGACGGCTACTACATCCAAGGTGCGTGCGGCCCTCGGGCCACGTGCTCCCGGGCTGCGCGGTCGGGGCTGGGCTGAAAGCTGCTCCCAAGGACAGGCGCTGTGCGGGGCTGCGGCTGCGGGCGTCCGTCGGGCCTGGGTGTTGCGCGGTGTACTCGGCGCTGAGGCTGGTGGCCGGCCTGTGACAGTGTTTTCAGGGACGCGGCTTCCGGGACATGCCGGGTCGTCATTTACCTCTCCTAGACGGTTTCCGGGACGAGTCGGTATTAGCATCGAAGTCTGGGAGATTCGGCAGGGCCAGGTGGTCTCCCGAGCTTCTGAAAAGGTCCCAAACAGTGTGTTACAATAACGTGGCGTTTCTAGGTTTAGAAGGGGGCCTGAAATTGGGCAGAGAGCTCTTAGACATTACCTAGGGCCTAAGAGCGGAACTGAGCGAGCCCTGGCCCGTGTTCTTAGTCTACCCCGCCCCTTCCAGCCCAGTGTGCCATCATCATGTTCGACGTGACATCGAGGGTGACTTACAAGAACGTGCCTAACTGGCACAGAGATCTGGTCCGCGTGTGTGAGAACATCCCCATTGTGTTGTGTGGCAACAAGGTGGACATTAAGGACCGGAAAGTGAAGGCAAAATCCATTGTCTTCCACCGAAAGAAGAACCTTCAGGTAGGTTGATTGACACTGAAACCTGGGAATTACAGTCTTGGCGAAATGCTGTGCCACGGGGCGGGGATGGACAGATCTGCCCCCACGTGGGGGTCCGAGGGGTTCCCATCGGTGCGCGCCCAGGTGAGCCAGGTTGCAGTAGTGGTGTGACGCGACTCCCCCGACAGTACTACGACATCTCTGCTAAGAGCAACTACAACTTCGAGAAGCCCTTCCTCTGGCTGGCCAGGAAGCTCATCGGGGACCCCAACCTGGAGTTCGTCGCCATGCCTGCGCTGGCCCCGCCAGAGGTGGTCATGGACCCAGCCCTGGCCGCACAGTATGAGCACGACCTGGAGGTACTGTGTCCAGGGGCCGGGAGCAGGGAGCAGGGTGGCCGTGAGTCCTGCAGCTGTGACAGGGCTTCACCTCTCCTCTCCCTCCAGGTTGCTCAGACGACCGCGCTCCCGGACGAGGATGACGACCTGTGAGAATGACGCTGGAGCCCACGTCAGAAGTCTAGTTTTATAGGCGACTGTCCTGTGACGTCAGCGGTGCAGTGCGTGTGCCACTTGTTACTAGCTCAGCAGAACGTGTGCTTCATCTTTGGGATGCTGAAGGAGACGAGTGGGCTTCGGAGTGAACGTGGCAGTTAAAAAAAACCTTCATTTTTGGACCTGCATATTTAGCTGTTTTGGAACGCAACTGTTTCCTTATTATTGAGTTTCAAATAGAAGACTGCTACCGTCACATCCCAATACTCAGTGGCGAAACCTTGTTTGTCATTCCCATTCCTTTCGTTTAGAATCAGAATAAAGTTGTATTTCAAATATCTAAGCAGATGCGTTCATCCCTTGTCTGTGAGCATCTAAGAGCCACAAAGAGAGAAACCTGTGCTATGTCAACACTTAAATTTCCTCTGCTGTTCTTATTCTGGAATCTATTAGGCAGTTTTTTCCCCTCCTTTTTTGTTTTTTTCTTTCTTTTTCGGGAGAAGGTGCTTTGAGTCTTGTTACACAAACGAGATGTCAGGTCAGTAGGATACTCTGTTTCTTAGAGGTGTAAATGTTAGTGCAGTTAAGCTAAAATAATACCTGTTTCACATTCGTCTAGGCTAAGTGTAGTGTCCCCTGGTGGAGAGCTTGTTCAGAGTTTGTGATCTGTTGAGTAAAAAGTGGTTTGCACATACCGTCGATACTTCAGAGACCATAGTTGCTTTTATTTTACAGCAAAGGTAACCATGTTCTAATGCAGATGAGTGTAAACTCCGCACTTGCCCCTGTCCCGATGCTAGATGTGTGATGTGATGTTGATATTCCAGAAGACGCTCATGCTTGCTTGCAACTTTCAAATACTCCCGGGCTTTAAAGATAACCTTGAAGATGAAGGGTTTAAGCTGGACACTATGGCCTTGGGTTTTTTCGAAGTATGTTTGTAGATGGTATGAATGAAGGAGACAAAAACACCAGGGGTGCTGTGACAACGGGAAGGCGAAGCGTGGCCACAACTGGGTTTGCGGGACCTTTAGTTTATCTGGTGAATTAGGCTGCCTGAGGACTTCGCTCCATCAGCTCTGCTGTAGGAATCTAGCAGTAAGCTGCTTTTCGGTGTTCCTCTAGTCCAGTTGACCGAAGTTTTCTTTACACTTCTGGCTCTTGAGATCACTTTCCTACCTTGAAGGTAGGAAGGGTCACTAAGTGTATGGGGAGGTGAAACAATGAAATCGGACGTAGCTACTGTGTTAACTGGCACCCAGGCAGACCTGAATCTGCTCTGTCTGGACCCAAACAGAACAGCCTGTGTGAAATGGGAAGTTTCTTTCCGGGATGAGACGGAGCCTTTCAGAGGTATGAAGGTGTACGTGTTGTGTGTCACCTGATGTAGAATGCAAGTATGGTGTGGCTATTCTGATCTTAACCTGTCACTGCCCAGGCGGCGGAAGGACCGTGCTGCGTGGGTGGGAGAGAAACAAGTCATTCATTGGCAGCAATAATTGTTACAAAATATATTGCTTCTACTTGGCCTGGATTTCTGAGTCTTTAGTGTTTGCTCTAGGAAATACCGAGGGTCGGCAGACACCTTTGGTGGTCGGGGGCACACATATATTGAGCTCATAACACCTGGGAAGTGGTTCCCCTCAGTTTTGTTTGTTTTGCTATAGAGTGCATGTTAAGGTTTCATTTCATTCCCTGCTGCCAGATCCAGGACTCGAACTGTGGTCAGCTGTGGAGAATAGTTAATTTGAAAATACGTGATTAAAATACGTGGTTTGTAGACACGTAGAAATGCACGATTTAATCACGTTTTCAAGATAAACACTCTCCACAGTCAGCCAAGTGGGTGTCCAGCTGCCTCGTCCACTGCGCCACCTGCCGGCCCCCGCCTCGGTTTTCTGAGCTGTTACCTAGGAAGGTCTGTACTGAGCACTATATGACAGGTTACGGAGGGTCTACCTTTTAGAGCAAAATCCCCGAGCCTGTTGTTGGCACAGGTGAACCGGGGCTGAGCTTGGAAGGGTGAACATCTGGGAGGCAGTGTCATTTGTGACACGTCAGTTTCTAGAAAACCGTACAAAGCGGCAGTCCTGAGCTGTCCAGGAAAGACCCGGGCTCTCCAAAAGTGCAGGTGGCTCCAGAGGGTCAGCCTGGGCTGGGCGCAAGAGCTGTAGGGCTGGCCTATGTCTGCAGACGTTACAGAGCACCTGGGACTGGGGCGAGGGGGTAGGTGTGCGGCACAGCAGTGCTGTCGGGGTGCCTTGGCCACGTGGGGCTCGGGTGACTTGCCCAACAGCAAGGCAGCTCAGTCTTCCACGTCAGCAGGTACTGATCAACTCCAGCGCCATTAAGCTTTCCAACCTCAGGTCCGTCGGAGGTGGAGGTGAAGTGTACCTAACCACCACGTCTAAGGGCTTAAGAGTTGTGTTGTGTTGAGACCAGCAGATGGCGTAATGGTTAAGTCACTGGACTCCCACACGGCTAATTGCATTGCGAGTTCTGGACCCAGAGACGAGTCGCAGGGTGCGTGTGCGTGCGTGCCCCAAATCACAGGCAAATGGAGAAGGGATTACAACGAAGCCATTCCCACGGGAGGGGTGGGGGGGTTTCTTGCTTTCTCTCTGTCTCAGTCTCTCGGGTGAGCGCATATTCGCCATAGCAAAAGTCTCTTAGAAAAGTTGGATTGTATAATAAAAGGTGAATCTGGGCTAGCAGGCAGCGTGGTGGGTAAGGTGTTCGGCTCCCGCCCGACAGATTCCTGACCTGGCGGCTTGGAAATCATGCGGGATACACGTGTGTGTATGGCCAAAATCCAAAGAGGAGAATGGGGAGGGGGTTGTGTGGCCACCCTCCGGGCGTGCTCTCTCACTTTCCCCTCCTGCAGCCACATCTCTCCCCACTGTGGCCAGGAGGCCGTGTGAGCACAGACTGCCCGTCCTCGGGACCTGTGGCCACCTGGTGTCGCGGGCGTGCTGCCTCTCAGGGCTCCCCTCCCTCTCCACCGCGAATGCTCTGCATACGTGCTAGCTCCCTCAGTTTCTCTCCCTGCATGGCTCTGGTCACTTAGGGAGAGTGGGTGGTCAGGAGACTGGCCGCGGGCCATGTGGCCAGAACTAACATGGTGTTGTCGGGGTCGGGCTTTGGGAACTGGGAGAGGAGGTGCATTTGACTGGTTTTCATTGCCCCAACTTTTGCTTGCTGGTCTCTCACTCTCGCTCACTCTCTTTTTTTAAATGCTAGAAGGGAGAAAGCACCCTCATGGGGATAGTCAGGCTGTAACCCCTTCTTTCTCCTGCCCAGATCTTCGGCACACGTGTGCCTAGGGCGTTTCTGCAGCTGCTGCGTCCAGAACGTGAACCACACAGCTGGCATGTGGGGGCTAGCTGCTTGGCCGCCCGGCCACGGAGCAGCCTTACTAACTTTGCAAAGGATTACTTACTTAATTTCTTTTATTATTATTATTTCAAAACTTTCTATAGGGCACATGTGCTTACCAGAGAGAGAGAGACAGAGAGAGAGAGAAAACAAACCACCAGGTTCAGAGCTTCAGTCATGTGGGTCATTTGGGAATCCAGTGCCTTAACCATCACACCACCCGGCCCCAACCTGCTTTTACGAAGTCCGTATGGGACCAGCAAGTAGCATGGAGGTTAAAACCCCACGTCCAACAGTGCAGTTGGAGTCCCAGACCCAGCAACTTGAAATTCATGCCAGGCAGGTGAACGTGCCTGCCCAAACCCCGAGAGGAGAATAGAGGAGGGATTGCAGCGTAGGCAGTGCCCCAGCACCCCAGGGTGACTCCTCACCGTGTCTCTGCGGACCACATACAGCCTATGGCAAACAGCTTTCACTCTTTCATTCATGTTCTTTCTTTCTTTTACTTTTTTTTTTTTTTTAAAGAGAGGAGAAAACATTTATGGTTCTGAAACAAAACTAGAAATAAGTTAGAGGGGGCCCAGCAGGTGGCGTGGTTGTTAAGGGTGCTGGATTCCCACATGATCAGCTGCGGTTCAAGTCCTGGACTTGGCGACGTGCTTTCTCACCTTTCATTTCTTTCTCTTTCTGTCTCTGGTCAAATTAAAAATAATACCAAATATAATGAAATAAATAATTCTTTAAAAAAGTAAGTTAGAGGTCTAGGTTTTTTTTTTTTTTTTTTCTCTTTAGGTTTTTGCTATAGAGTGTATGTGTTCCCCAGAGAGAGACAGAGGGAAAGTGAAAAATCACCCCACCCCCACCCAAGGGAGGATGGTCACATTGCAATCCCTTCTCGGTTCTCTCAGGATTTGGGGCATGATGCACACATGCCTGGCCTGATTTTCAGGCCACCAGGTCAGGGACTCTAACCATGGTCGGCCATGTGGGAGTCCAGTGCTTTAACCACCACGCCACCTGCTGGCCGAGAGAGAAGTCTAGTCTTCATTTCCACCCCTTCACCTTCCTGGCTCTACCCTTCCCCGATAAGGTAGCTAATTAGATTAGTTTGGGGTTATCTTTCCCCTGTTTTTTTTTTTTTTAAGCAAAAAGTGAGTTTTAATGTATTTGAAATAACAAGCACACACATAAATGTGTATGCAACCTGAGTGTGCGGTGGGTGTGCCTATACCCTTCCTTGTGTGTGTGGGAGTTACCGCACTGTACACACCCTCCTGAGCTAAGTTTATTGGAGTGAGAGGCTGGGGCAGGCATCCCATGAGATCTCGCCAAGCCGTGGTCCTGCCCGCAGGTCCCAGTGAGCCGGGTCACCAGCCACAGTGCCTGCACACTGGGGCCGACCTGGGATCGGAGCCAGGGCCTGCCACATGGCTGCAGCATGCAGCTGGGAATGAATACCTCTTTAAGTGACTACAGTGGGGGCACGTGACTTAGAGGCCGGAGAGCTCCTGCTGCCCTACTGTGATGGCTGGGCTGCGTCAGTCCCCTCCGAGAGTTTCCTAAGGAGAGCCGCATGCCCGGATGACTCTGGATGGTCATGCCAGGGTATCTTGGTCGAAGGTGGCTAGGCATGGCCTGGGGTCGAAGGGCAAAGTCTCGTTCAGTTTTGCGAAGTACCACCCCGTTCCCCATAGGGCTCGCATCTGTCTTCACTCCCTTCGGCAGGGTGTCTGTCTCACCGAGAGGATTCACTCTGTACGCCTTAAAGCACCAGCCTCACAGCCTGGGGCTCTCCCCGGCGAGCGGCAAAGGTCCCATTCCCGCGTGGACAAGCCCGAGGGCCGCCTTCCCGCGCTCTCCTCACGCCATCCGGTGCCGGCCATGCCTTGTCCTGGGTTGAGCTTCCTGGTTGACGCCCTCACTCCCTGCGAGCGTGAACACTGCTGCCCGGGCCTGTGTGGTGGAGAG